CACTCTGTACCCCCGCAGGACACCGCAGAGCCACTCTGTTCCCTCTAGAACCCCCTGCCAGTCTCTTTGTACCTCCACAGGACCCCACCAAACCTCTACATCCCCACAGGACCGCCCTTCATAGGACCCCGCTGAACCTCTCAGTACCTCCATACAGTACCTCCATAGGACCCTGCTCCTCCATTCCAGGACCCCACAGCGCTGGTCTCTATGCCCTACCCCCCTCCCCAGTCTCAGGGCCTCACCTCCCCAGTTATTCCCGCTTTTACGGTTTTGGGACCCACTGGGCCTACTCCTCCCCTCTCCAACATGCATCTTGTTCTCTCCTCCTGTGTCCCTCCCTCTCAGCACAGACCCCCAGGGGGTGGAGACTGAGGCCTGAGCCTTGGGTGTGGTGAAGCCAGGTCAAGGAGCAAGATGGTGGAGGGTTGGTGCTAGGAGCCAGGGCTGGGGACAGCAGACAGCGGAGGCTTCTGACTGGGATGCTGATGTGGAGGGCAGTGGCCACAGGAGTAGTGAGGAGCATGTTGCTCACAGGGGCCAGCCATCGGGCAACAGTCTGGTTAGTGGCTGGAAGGTGGCCTAACTTGCTGCCTGCCATCTGACCAAGGGGCCCTGGGAGCCTTGGGGACCCTACCCCACCTGATCCTGATCCTTCCCCTAGAGCCTCAGAGGTGAAGACCCACAGCCTGCTGAGGGTCAAGATGGACAGCAAGCAGCTGTGGGCACAGCAGTCACAGCCCACTCAAGAGCATAGGCAGCCCTTTCCCCCTGGGGGCCAGTCTAGGACCAGGGGCCAACCGGGTGCCCAGAGCAGTAACCAGCATGGATTGCAAACGCAGGACTGGGTAAGTAAGAGGAGGCCACCTCTGGAAACCCGGACTTTGCGGGGGCTAGTTGGGGAGGGGATCAGGCAGGGAATACAGGGGCCTGAATGGAGACAGAGGGGCAGTATGCTCTTTCCCCACCATCCTGTACCCTTTTTGCCTCTCTATGCCGGGCAGAGTGGAGGCCCACCCGAGGTCGGGAAGATGTCCAGTGCCCCTCACTCCTGGCCAAGAGAGTATCTTGAGTTGGAGGGAGAACAAGCTTCCAGGGCAGGGATGTGCTTGGTTCCCACAGTAGTGAGAGAGACAGACAGATCCAGCTGTGCCTGCCCATGGGCATTCCCTGAGCCGAGGAATCCAGACTACCTGTGTGGTTCCGCTTAGGGAAGGTTCAAAGCCAGGCCAGACAGGTCCATACTTCTGTAAGACAGGAGCTCAAGGGTCTCCCAGGCTGCCAGGTGCTGGTCCTGCAGTCAGACAGTGCAGGCAGCCTTTTGAGTCATGCATTTGGGTTTGTGTGTGTCCAGCACGTGTGTTCACTGAAGTCAAAGGTGGGGGGAAAGTAAGAAGGCTCTCTGAGCTGCTTGCATGACTGCCCTGTGCCCTCCTGGGTATTTCCTTATGTGGGTACCCAGTACTGGGGCCACTGGAGTGAGGGACCAGCAAGACCCTTTAGCTACTGAGGGACTTGCCTTCTGATAGGTGGTATAGCCAGTAGGTACACAGGAGGAGTGGGCCTGGGCTAGCTTTGCACAAACCCCAGGGCCTTGCGGCAGAGAGAGCAGGGACAGGAGGAGACACTGCAGTGTCTTTCACACCTGGGTCCTTCCAGGGTTGCTCCTGTGCAAAGTTCCTTGGCCTCTCCCTTGCTTCTGACTGTGGCCCTGAAAGGCACCCAGACTGCCCTCTCTAACTTTCTGTCCCCTGGATGTAGAATCTTTTTCTTCCAGATCTTCCCTTAATTGGCCTCTTCTCCGGTGTCACCTCCCAGGCTAACTTAAGTCCTTCATCCTTCCCCTTTCCCAACCTGGGTCTCAAGAGCCACTGCCTCTGCTGTGCCTGACTACAGCCCCCAGTGCCATGCGTGGTGCCAGAACATACTCACAAAGATGAGCAGCCTTGGGCTGACATCAGGCCAAGGAGGTCTTCCCCAGCACAGGGTCTCCAGACCACCAGCCTAGACCAGTGGGTGAAGCTCCAGCTGTCGCACTTGTGCTTAATGACAGCTAGTAGAAGGGTGGGGGGCTAGGGGTGGTGGTGGTAGTGCTGTAAGGAAGCTGGGAGCTGCAGGACTGGGACCGGGGTTGGGGGTGCACCAGGGTTACTACTGGGCAGGCCGGGCAGGTGAGTGAGGCAGCAGAAGCCATACACCTCCCTCTGTCCTCATGCCAGTGTCTGCCTTTCCTCCCCCGGAGTTGTAAGTGACCAGCCATGGAGCACCAGACATGTGAAGTCAGCCCTGTTTGGAAACCATGTCCTGATCAGTCTAGAGGCATTGACTGGAATCCATCCACAGAAAGAGGGTTGGGAAGTTAGTAGCCTTTACAGACCCAATAGCAGGCTCAAGAAGATAACACACGGGCTGGGCTGGGGCTCAGCGGTAGAGCACCTGCCTGGCATGTGTGAGGCCCTGGGTTCTGTCCTCAGCACCGCATACAAATAAAGGAATAAAATAAAAGTCTATCAACAGCTAAAAAAATTTTTAAAAAAGAAGGCCAAAAAAAAAAAAAAATAAAAAACTGGCAAAGAAGGCCACTTACAGTAGTACTAGTAGTAAATTTAAAAAGTGTACAAAACCTTCCTGAGGGTAACTTTTAAATACTGCCAAAGAATCACAGATCCCTGAAGATGGAGAGAGAGCTCCGTGCTTGGACAGGGGCATTCGGAATTAGTGTGTTGCACTAAAAGTACTGGACTTCTGCCTCCTCCTTCAGCTCTGCAGCCTGGCCACAGAAGCACAAATGGCCAGCAGGGCTTCCACCCTGGCTCCCACCCAGCAGATGGGAATGGTGTCCATACTCCAGGAAAGATGAAAAGGCCACTATTCACAACAAGGTCTTCTCTACCTAGAAACACCCTCCCCCAGCCAATTAACAACTCCATACTCCTGAATGAAGGAAGGCTTGAGTAGCTGCTGTGGGTGAAACCCTAGTTTCAACAGCCTGAAAAAAACAGTCAGAAAAGCCTGGGAAGACTCCTGCTCGCTGTGGCAGCACTCGGGCAGCCCTGGCCACATACCTCTGTGAGGAGCACTGAGTAGCTGAGCAATACACAGATACCTCACAAGACGAGAAGTTTTAGGTGTTAATCTTACTTTATGCATGTGTGCAGCCCTGGGGATTGAACCCCCGGGGTACCACTGAGTTATATCCTTACCCCTTTTATTTTTTGAGACAGGGTCTCACTAAGTTGCCCAGGCTAGCCAGTGACCCTCCTGCCTCAGCTTCCTAAATTGCTGGGATTATGGGCTGGGTGCCACCATGCCTGGCTCCATTATTAAGGTTTAAGCCTGCTAAGTTTCAAAAACATGATTCAATGCAATCCCAGTTTTTTAAAAAAACAAACTTCATGCTGGGCACAGTGGTGCATACGCATAATCCCAGCAGCTCAGGAGGCTGGGGCAGGAGGATCATAAATTCAGGGCCAGCCTCAGCAACTTAGCGAGAACTTATCTCAAAAAATAAAGAGAGCTAAGTGTGTAATTCAGTGGTTAAGCACTCCTGGGTTCCATCCCTGGGATGGACGGACAAACAAAATTTCATGGATCTTGAAAATTTTACTCTAGGTACACATAGTGTTTTGCTGGCATATTAGTTATACATTCTTACATAAACAGTAACTCCAAAACTTAGTGGCTTGAAACAATATTTTGCCTTGGATTCTGTAGGCCAGGAACTCTGCTTAGCTGGGTGGCCTTGATGTGGTCTGTCAGGAGGTTGTTGTCAAGATGTCAGTCTGAGCTACAGTCCCTCTGAAAGCTGGACTAAGGCTGTGCCCACAGCACTCCCTCACTTGGTCGGGGTTGGATATTGGCAGAGGCCACAGATTCTGACCACACATCTCCACACAGTAGGCTGTGTGTCTTCCCAGCATGTGGCTGGCTTCCCCCAGAGGGAGTGAGAGCCAAGTGCAAGCAGCCAGGGCTCTGCAGGTGACCTTGGAAGTCACACTCCATCATCTCTGCAGCACCTTTTCTCACGCTGGTCCTCCCTCCTGAACCTGGGAGGGGGCGACATGAGGCTGATCCATGTGCGAGTCCTTGGATGTGCTCTGGAGGTCGGTGGTGATCAGACCTTGTCCTGGACGGCCCAGCAAAGCCCAGTGGCCTAAGTCAGGTTCCAAGCCCGAGCCGTCACAGTGGTCCTGCAGGGTCCAGAGACAAGTCTCTCAGAGGCAGGCAGAGGAAGCAGAGGGACTTGACAGCTACCTTTAGTCGGCAGCCATAGGATGTGTGACCCGAACCCCTCAAGGGAATTGAGAGTCTGAGGCCAGCTTGGGGCACACAGTGGGACCTAAAAAAAAAAAAAAAAAGAAAAAGAAAAAGGCTGTGGAAGCTTGTTACAGAGAGGGTACCACATGTAGGCCGAGAGAAAAGAAAAAAATTCTGCCTGGCATAGGTATCTTCTACAGAGAAGGCAAATGATAAATATAGGACAGTTGTTGGACATGCATGTGATCCCAGTGACTCAGGAGACTGAGGCAAGTGGATCTCAAGTTCAAGGCCAGCCTCAGCAATTTAGGGAGATCCTGTCTCAAATAAATAAATAGGCTAGGGGTGTAGCTTGGTGGTAGAACACTCTTGGGTTTGTTTCCCAGTACCGCCAAATAAAGGGCTGGGACTTAACACAGTAGTAAAGTATTTATTTGCCTAGCATGCATGAGGGCCTGGGTTCAATCACCAGCACCACAAAATAAATAAAATAATGAAAGTGATAAACAAAAAGCAATTCATCCTCCATAGACTCTTTTTTTCTTTCTTTCTTTTTTTTTTTTTTTTAGCTTTAGGTGGACATAATATCTCCATTTTATTTTTATGTGGTGCTGAGGATTGAACCCAGTGCCTCATGCATGCCAGGCGAGCTCACTAGTACTTGAGCCATATCCCCAGTCCCCCCATAGACTCTCATATCAATTCTGAGGACGGACCTCAAAGAGGAAGACAGTGATCTCAGAAGGCGTGAAGTAGACCAGGAATGAGGGTGAAACACAAGTCTTTGGGGAGATCGAAACGAGCACCAATGGTTAAGTGGTTAAGTACCGAGCTCAGTGGTTAAGTACCCCTGGGTTCAAACAATCACTGGGTGTCAGTCACAGAGCCTGCTTGGGGTACGGTACCCACCACAGTGGCTTGGACACAAGGCCTCTGGGTCTTGCACCATTTGGGAATATTGGACTTTGGTTTTGCATGTACACTGTGACTGCACCCAAGAATAGAAAGAGCCCTGTCCCCACAGGGGAAGGGAAGATGGGACAGAAACCACATGCAGTGGTCGCAGAAGGAAGCATGAGGCACCAACCAAGAAACGCAAACAGGCAAAAGGGACAGAAAGCATTAGGTGAGAAGCGGACAGAGCCACTCACCTGGCATTCAGTTTAGCAAATGAATGTGGACTGAATGCTCCAGTTGAAAGAATGGCTTCATCAAGGGGACTGGGAGGGCTGGGGTTGTAGCTCAGTGGTAGAGCACTTGCCTAGTATGTGTGAGGCCCTGGGTTCGAATCTCAGCACCACATAAAAATAAATAAAATAAAGGTCCATTGACAACTTAAAAAAAAATAAGGGGTGGAGGGGACTAGGAATAACCAGATCCTGCACCGCCCACGTGAATGTGTGGAGAACAGCAGTATTCCAGCCCAGGGTGGGGGATGGACTGTAAGTAGCCGCCAGTTTACTGCACACTCTGTGTCAAATTCAGCAAATTTGTTTGTGCCGATACCTGCTCCACAGGACGGAGCATGGACCCATTTAATGGGTGTATTTCTGAGTGAAAGAAGCAACTGACCGAATCATCTATGCAGTGTGGCTCTATTTATTCAGAGTTCAAAAACATGGAAAAGTAATATTGGTAATATATTCATTAAAATCTAATTTAAAAAAATACATGTAGGGCTGGCGTTGTGACTCAGTGGTAGAGCACTTGCCTAGCATGTGTGAGGTACTGGGTTTGATTCTCAGCACTGCATATAAATAAATAAAGTTCACTGACAATAAGATATTTCTTAAAATATATGTGTAAAATTTTTACTTTATAAAGAAAGAAACCGTGCAACAATTTTTTTGGCAGGAATTGAACTCAGGGGCACTTGACACTGAGCCCCATTCTGTATTTTATTTAGAGACAGGGTCTCACTGAGTTACTTAGCACCTTGCTTTTGTGGAGGCTGGCTTTGAACTTGTGATCCTCCTGTCTCAGCCTCCTGAGCCGCTGGGATTACAGGAATGTGCCACGGCACCCAGCCTGAGCAACAGAAACAAAAGTCCTTGCCTCCTCTAAGCTCTAGCAATTAAAATTGTGTGGTATTGGGGCAGAAAGTGGCAAATACCTGCCCAATTTAGGACAGATGGGTGTCAAAGTGACACTTGTGGGCCGGAGGGTGGCTCAGTTGTAGAGCGCTTGCCTAGCGTGTGCAAGGCCCTGGGATCCATCCTTAGTACTGAAAGAAGAAAAAGTGACCCATATCACTTTTTAATCTGGAGGTTTAATTTCTGCGTGGAATTTCAAAGCAGCAGGAAATACTTTTCAATAAGTGGTAGTGGGATGGTTGGCTATCCACCTAGAACATGGCAGAGTGAACCCCCACTTCTTCTGAAACACATAGCATTTAACCCAAACCATAGCAGCACTGGAGACGCCAAAGTGTTTAGAATCCCAGAGTAACAAATGCCTTTCTTAGGCCAGACGTACAATCCTTGGAGGAAAAGCCTAACAGATTTTTAAATTATGGCACAATCAAGGACATAAAAATGTTAAATGACATTCTGGAAGGAAATACTTGTAATCTTTAAACAGTCAAGTGTCTATGAAGGGATGCTTGCAAGCTGTCAGAAAACTGTTGTGAAAACCGAACAGAGGACTCAGGGTGCAGCTCAGTGTTGGAGCACTTGCCAAGCTCAGTGGTTAAGTACCCCTGGGTTCAAACAAGCCCAGATTTGTGCCTTGGTTCACATGATGGTGAAAGGGACCAACACCGCTGTGCAGACCCATGGATATTCCCGAGCAGGGGAAGGCAGACTACCTGTGTGGTTCTGCTTAGGGAAGGTTTCATTCCCAGCACTACAAGAAAACAAGCCTCCCAAACAAACCAGACTGAATAGAAAAGTGGGTAAAACCTGCGATGACATGCAGTTCTTAAAGAAGAAGCTGAACGGACCCTGAACATGAGTGGAAAGATGGCTGTGCGTGGGATGGTGAGCATGTGGCTTTTCAAAGAATCCATTTGTGATTATTGTCCACTGTTTTTTCTTTTAACTTATTCACTAATCTACCGTAATTCCATCTTTAAACTTTCAGTAAATTTCTTTTGTTCTTTTTCTAGCTTCTCAAGTGATTTGCTTGGCCACTGCGGAACTTTTTTCTAATGATGCATTTAAAGATATAGAGTGCCTTTAGAGGACATTTTTGGCCACCCTTCATGGGTTTTGGTGTGTCCTCCTCTCATTGTTCATTTCTAATAAGTTTACATCTCAACCTTGATTTTCTTTTTCACTCTGGGGTCAATTAGAAGGGTGTTTTGGAATGTCTGTGTCAATAGGAGTGGCCTGTGTTTGTTTTCTGCAGAGATTGAACGCAGGAGTGCTCTACCCCTGAGCTACACCTCCAGCCCTTTCAATTTTTCATTTTGGAAAAGGGTCAAAGTTGCCCCGATCGGCCTTGAACTTGGTAACCTCCTGCCTTAGCTTCTCAAGTCACTGGGATTGCAGGCATGCACCATTGTGCCTGGCTTATTAGTAATTTTTAATTAATTATACTGTGTCGTAGTCACAGATTTGTTGTGGCATCTGTAGTGTGTGGGAGGACCTGCTTTGCTTGTGGCCTACATCATGACCGACTTTGTGACTGTCCCATACATTCGGCAGACATGAGTTCTCTGATTGTCCTGTCTGTCGGGTGGTTCTGCCTATAGGGCAGCCGTCCCCTGGGCTGTAGGAGCCTGCACCCTGGGCTGCTGCCTTTCCAGTTCTCAGCTTTGGGTTCTGTTGCTCTCCCGCCGGGGAAGCTAAGGCCTGAGCAACCCACTCCCAGCACCACACTTTTCTGCCCTCTGCCCCCAGATCACACCTGTCAGCTGCCACCACTGGCCCTGTAGTGATAGTGAGCATTGTCCACACCCTTCTTGTTTCTCCCCTCTTCTTTCCCTCCTGCCTCCTCTTTTCTATTTTCTGTGAACTGATGATCAGTCCTTTCCCAAATTCACAACACATCTCTGCAGGTCCTCTCACAGAGGCTGGGCAGTGACCCTCCTCAGGCCCTGGCTGTCACCCTCTGTCTTCCTCAGCAGCCCATGTCCTGGCCCTGCTTTCTCTGTTTGCCTGTTGACCCTAGAGCACACCACCCAGCAGCTTCCCCCAGTGGGGCTCACAGGATGCTGAAGGTCTCAGGTGAGCTCCGGATGGTGCTTGACTGGTGGCATGTTTGGTGGGAGAGGCTCTTCCTGCAGGACTCTTAAGTGCCCCATCACCTCTGGTTTCTAGGGCTGCTGTGTGATGCCCTGAACTTTTGGACTTCGGATCTTTCTACCCTGTTTGTGTTTGTTTTTGTTTTGTGGTGGAGGGGATCAAACCCAGGGCCTGAAGCACGTAGGCAAGAGCTGCATAGGCTGTGCTCCCAGCCCTGTGCTTCGTTTCTTCCCTGAAAGCTTCTCTGTCAGAGTTCTGGAATGTACTCTGGGGAGGCATTTATTTTCATTGCCCTGGGTGGGGGCTTTCTGACTGGGGCCTTTTCCTTTAGTTTCTGGGAAAAGCACATGTGTGCGTGTTGTGTGTGTGAGTTCATTTTCTCTCTCTTCAAGGTTTGTTAGTTGTATGTTGGCCCAACAGGAATAGTTCTCCATCTTCCTCATTTTTTATAAATGTTTTCTGTATCTTATTTTCAGTCCTGCATTAGTCAGCATTTGCTGTAATGATGCTCTATAACAAGCAGCTCCATAATTCTAGTGATGCACAGTGAACTTCCATTTTGTTTTCTGCTCGTGGACCTGAACAGCAGGGTTGTGTGTCTTCTGCATTCCCCTCTTGGTGCTCCTCCTAGGGCCTGCTGTTCTCAGGCTCCTGGAAGAAACACAGAAGGCCAGCCTACTTCACACAAGCATATTGTGAGAATATACCCCTTCTGGGAGTAACATCATCAGGGTAGGAAGAGAAACTCTAGGGGAAGCACTGTGAGACCACATATTAGAGGGGAGGTGTACAATTCAATTACAGAAACAGGGCTAAGAATAGAAACAACAGCCAGATTCAGTGGTGCAGGCCTGTAATCCCAGCCCCCCTGCTTAGGAGGCTAAGGCAGAAGGATCACAAGTACCAGGTCAGCCTTAGCAATTTAGCAAGACCCCATCTCAAACAAACAAAAAAACACTGGAATGCAACTCAGTGGTAAAGCATCCCTAAGTTCAGTCCCTAGTACCAAAACAAACACCAGGGCTGGGGACATAGCTCAGCTGGTAGAGTGCTGGCCTTGAATGCACTGATGCCTCGGGTTCCATCCCCAGCACCACAAAAAACAGAGGGACCCCCAGCCTACCTCCCATGGAGTGTTTCATGTGGAAGAACCAGTCTTGTCCTCTGAGTGGCCCTTCTCCATACCTTCCTGCCCTTGCTCATGGGTCTATCTGCTTCCCAGGACGGCAGTGTCAGTAGGGACCTGTGCTTGGTGGTTCCTGGGATGCCTCTCTGAGTGTCCCTTGCCCTGGGAGGCCCGGCCCTGTTTCCCAAAGCAGTGCTTGTGCAAATGCTGTGTGCTTGGCGAAGCTCGTCCCTGGAGGGTTCACCTTAGCATAATGGAGCTGGGGGCTCTCCTCTCTTTTTTTTTTTTTTTTTGGTTCTGGGATTGAACCCAGGGTGCTTAACCACTGAGCCACATCCCCAGCCCTTTTTATTTTGAGACTGAGGGTCTCCCTCAGTTGCTTAGGGCCTTGCTAGTTTCTGAGGGCCTTACTAAGTAGCTGAGGCATGCGCCACCACGCCCAGCAAGTTTCCTAGTTTCCTGAGTCTGAATAATGTTCCCTTGTGTGGTTGGCCCCTTGTCTCTTTTACATCCCTTGATGGATACTTGGGCTTCCATGTTTCGACCACTGAAAACAATGCTATGGATGGAATTGTGCACACACCTGTCCAGTCCCTGCTTTTCATTCCATGGACATGTGCCCACCTCAGAGTGGCTGGCACGGGGTTGTTGAGGTTTGATTTTCTGAGTAGGGCTTTGCGGGGCTGGGTTGCCTGCTGTCTTCAGCGTGGCACCCCTCCCCTTTCCAGAAGGTGAGAAGGTGCCCCTCCACTCATGGGGCAGACGGCCTGCCCACTGGGAAGGTGGGACATGCTGCTGGCCTCTCCCTGCAGGTGTGCCTGGCCTTTTCCTGGCCCTCTTGCTGGTCACCACCTCCGGTCTCCTGCGCACATGGATGGCCTTCCTGCACTGTACCTCTCCTCCTCCTGTGCATTCACGAGCAGCATCACTCCACCTCACCCCGCGTATCACCTTAGAGGGGACTGGGGGGATGTATGGGGTCTGTCTCTCGAGTCCAGTGTTTCTGAGAGGTGCACAACAGGCCGACTGACCGTCTCTGGCCCAGCCTGGGCCCCTGTGGTAATTGTGCCCAGGGTCCTGGAGGCCGTTTCTAGCTCTAAACATTGCAGCCCTCACTGTAAGCCTAGGGACAGACACTGCGGAACTTGGGAGGTGCCCGGGGTGCCACGTGCCGCCGCCCACTGGGAGCGGGGAGGCTAAGTGAGCTCACTGTGTGCAGGGGAAGGGGAGCGGAGGCCCCAGGTGTGCCCGCACCATCCTGTCCTGTCCTCACAGGTGTGTGAGCCACAGGAGCACAGGCGCCCACGCCGCCACTGGAGCATCAGCATCGATGAGCGCCGGCGGCTGGCCATGCTGGGCACCCCCTCCCAAGACAGGGTGTGTGGTGGGCGGGGAGGCTGCCCTGTCCCTGGCCTCATCTGCCCAGTCCCTGTGCCTCCCTGCCCACACAGCCCCTGACACCAATGTTGCCCGCAGGACATCACGCAGATGGTGGCAGAGCTGGTGTCTGAGGATGTGGACAAGGATGTGCTCCTCGCACAGCCACCCAGGTCTGCTGAGTCCACTAATGCCTTCTACGACTTCCTGGCCCGGAGCACGCCCTTCTGGCAGAGTGCGACTTTGAAGAGCCAAGCCTCGGGGTCTCCCAGCTCCTAGGAGCTCTCGGACCTCAGCTTTCCAGAGCTTCTCCGTGGGGAGGTTTTGGGGGAGACCTCTGTGTCCTTGTGTCTCACCAGGGAGAAAACAGGCCTCAAAGTACTGCCTGCCTGGGGCTGCTGGGAGGTGTGGCGGCTGCCGGGGAGGGGTCCTGCCCCAGCCTCCTCCACCTGGAAGGTGAGGGGCAGAGGGTCCTGCCGGCAGATGGAGGCCTACCTTACGCTGTCAGGAGGAAGTTCTGGGGCACCTGGGTGCCAGGTGCCCCACCCTGGGGCTGACAGCACCTCTGGAGCCTTGGTCCTGCCTTTGAAGGCCCAGACAGGATTCCAGGACCCAGCAGTGATGTGGGGTGGGGGTGGGGCAGCTGGGTGAGGCACACAGAGGGAGGTTTCCTGAGGAAGAGAGCTCCCAGCTCTGGAAGTGTACCTGGAGGTGGACTAGGGTGCATAGAGGGTCTGGGGTGGCCTTGAGAAGCTGGCTGGACAAGTGGCCCCAGGCCTTAGGCTGGAGCCATAACTGCCTGGTCTCAAGGCGTGGGACTGCAGAAGGGTTCTGAGCCAGGGTGACAATCCAGGCTGCATTTTGAGGCGATGGAGCTGGAGGGGCCTGGGGGTGGGAGATAGGGAAAGGAGGGAGGGTTCCCAGCCCTGCTGGCTGGCAGGATGAAGTGTGAGGAGGTGGCCCTGGACTCAGTGACCGACTTAGGGGTTGCTTGGGCTTCTGCGGGGGCAGGACTGGTGAGGGGCTTTGGGTTGAGAGGAGGTGACAGCCACCTGGACCGTGCACACATTGGCAAACAGGCAGTGCTGTCCCAGAGCCCAGGCTGAGGTGCAGATCTGGCCATATGGTGCCTGCTGCCCTTCAACATTCCTCCTGCTTCTCTGCCTCCCTCACTGTAAGATGCAGTGAAAGTTCCTCTTCCTTCAGGAAGCCTACCTACATCACCCAGCTGGGCATTCCCTTTCCAGTTCAATGTAATTTTGTCCCATCTGTTCGTCAGGATCCCCAGGGTGGGTGGAGGGCAGGCCATGGAGCCACAAGGACTGGTGGAGGGGATCTAAGAGGTGGGGTTCAGACAGGGTCCTGGGGAAGGGGAACATCACAATCCCTCCCCCTCCTGAGGCCCCTGACAAAGATGTGGGAGTTGGGGTGCTCTGGGCCAGGAAAACACACAAGAGTCATCCCAGGGCAGAGTGGGAGCTAAGTGCCAACGGTCACCACAGAGGTCGCATGCTGTGTAGTTCTGAGTGACTTTAAAAGATTCCGTGTTATTTTCACTCATGGCTGGGGGCTGACTGGGCTCATCCTACCAATTCTGGTCTCACCTGGGGAGTCTCCTGAGGCTGCAGCCAGGTGAGATGCTGACTTCATAGGGTTCCTGCAGAGCTCCTACCCACCACAGCAGCATAAGCTGAAGTCTTGGGGTCTTGGGGCTGAGCTGACCCATGTGGGTTCATCTGCCACCTCCTAGTGGTTGACATGGCCACAGAGCCAGCCCTGTTCAGTGGAAATGAGACCCATCTCACAGTGGGGATCAGCGTTGAGTGCACGCCCTCTCCAGGACAGTGAGGTGCCAGGAAAGATGGCAGTGCCTGGGGCAGTGTGTTTACCACACCTGGGAAGAGGAGGCCATGTATCAGTTTCCTACTGCTGCTGTAACAGATTATCATAGATGAGTGTTTTATGGTGCATGCCTGTAATCCCAGCAACTAGGGAGGCTGAGGCAGGAGGATCTCAAGTTCCAGGCCAGCCTCACCAATTTAGGCACCAAGAAACTTTCTGAGCAAGACGCTCAGAAAGTAAAAGGGCTGGGGATGTGGCTCAGTGGTTAAGCACCCCTGGGTTCAATCCCTGGTGTGTCTCTGTCTCTCTCTCACACACAACACAAAGACAGGACATGGGCCTTTAGGAAGGGGAGCCTGATGTCTCCCTCAGGGTACCACCAGAGTACCCATTGGGCAGAGGCCAGGGTGCTGCTTGAGGTTTGCCAGTGCACAGGGGTGGCCCGGCTGGGAAATCCAGGAATAGAGGAGGGTCTCGGGAGTCAGGGGCTCACTTGAGAGAGACCTACCTTGGGGTGAGTAGCAGTTCACAGCAACAGGGGGCTTTCGTCCTAGGATAAACAGAAAGGTCTTGGGATACGAGTCAAGGGGAGGCTGGAGACTCCGGGAAGGATTCGAGGAGGGAAGGATCCAAGGAACCGTGCACAGGGACGCAGCCAAAGTCCCCAGCCGCAGTGCGGTTAGGTCTGGCTCTAGTCACTGCAACACCATGCTTCTAGACTGCTTTCACTTCTGCTTGGCCACCAGGTCAGTTGCTGTCTTTACCCGGGACTCACGTGAGTACGTCCCGCCACCCGGCCCCTGGGCGACCCCGGCGGCTGAGCGCCTGCGCGCTTCTGGAGCAGGACAGACACCCAGAACGGAGCCGCGGGTGGGCGCGCGCGCGCGCACACAAATGGTCTTCAAGCGCATGCTCGCTCAGCCTTGGCCGCGGAATCTCCCTGCGTCCCCAACACCCTTCTCGGCTTGTGACTGGCTGGCTCCGGATGGGGAGCAGCGGCCCCCTGTGTTCACCTGAAGCCGAAGGGGCCTCGCGCTGGCGGCCCGTCCGGGAGCTGACCCCACGCAGCGCGCAGGACCGGTCGGGGTGCCTGGGAGATGTAGTTTGCAGCTTGCTGAGTGCCTACACAATGCCACCACTGCCCCCGTTTAAAAGAAATGACTTTATTGGCTTTGCAAATACTTGTCCGTGATTAAACAGTGCAACAAAGAATATGTTTTTTAAAACTGGCTCACAATTCGATCACTGAAATGACTGCAGTTAACTTTCCGGGAGGGTTATTGCAGCTGTTTCTAGATTACGAGATGGAAGGGTATGTGGAAATACAGAAATCACTGAGACATCTTAAAATACTTAATATTTTAAGATAGAAAAACTATTGCTGAAATCACACGACTGCTTCTCACTCTCAAGCTTCAAGAATTCTTAAATTATTTTTAGGAATGAAGAATCATTAGGAAAGGGTGTCCTGTTTTTCATCAGCATGGTTTAATTAGACCGTACTAGCTGATGTCTGGCTTTGAGTGGTGAGGACCCTGCTGAGACTCCCCACCTCTTCTGCCTGCCCTGCTGGTCCATGCTGGCCAGAGTCTTGGTATTTTTAACCCACCCTTAGCCTGGTCAGATTCTCTGTACTCTGATGCCTGCAGTGCGTTCACGACCAGAACCAGACCACTCAAGTTCCTTCTTTTGATTTAGGTCTTTTATTGGCTAGACTTAAGGTCAAGGTTGTGTATGTGTACTGGGGATTGAAATCGAGTGCTTTACCAATGAGCTATATCCCCAGCCATTTTTATTTGTCATTTTGAGACAGTGTCTCACTAAGTCATTGAGGCCTCAAACTTGTGATTCTTCTGCCTCAGCCTCCCAAGTAGCTAGGATTACAATTGTGTGCCACTGCACATGGCTTTAAATTTTTAAAGAAAAAAATCTTTTCTTTTTTAGTACTGGGGATGGAACCCAGGGCCTTACACATGTTGGGCAGGTGCTCTACCACTGAGCTACATCTCTAGTCCTTTTTATTTTGGGACATGTCTTGCAAAATTGCCTGGGCTCATTTTGAATTTGTGATCCTCCTGAGTAGCATTTCTCATACTGATGTCTATACTTGCATGAACAATTGGAGAAAGAATTCTTGTGTTCTACTTTATTTTCCTAAGGACTATGTCTTCAAACTTTGAAAATGCTTCTGGGAAAAACAGAGGCCAATATGATTTTTTTGTCCTTGTTGGTGATACACTTTTCCTAGGAGAAGGGGGTTCCATTAATTGTTGAAGTTTAGTAACAGGCAAGACAAATAACAGGTCTAAGTGTGATTCATGACACTCTGATTTTCTGGAACATGCTGTGGCCTTTCCTGAGAAGGCTCTGCTGTTATTCCAAGGAGACTTTCTTGCAGGCTCTTTGAAACTCATCTACCTCCAGAACCCAGTGCCTTGTGCAGCCTCAGGGATCCTTCTGAGCAACGATCAGATCACAGAAGCAAAGGCCAAATCCCCCAGGCCCCAAAGGATCCTGCACAGGGATGTGTCCCTGCCAAGTGTCCTCTGGGCCCCTGCCCACCTGCATGGGTTCTCCTTTGCTGACTCCTGAGTTGAAGAGTGCCCCTCTCTGTCCTGATCCTGAATCTGTACCCTCACCATTTTGTCTCAAAAACACTTACCATAAGACATTATATACCACATGTCCCCAGCCTGCTGCTAGACTGTCAGCTCTCCAGGGCTGAGACTTTATGTCCTTATCCTCCAGCATTGAGAGTGGTCTGCAGCTTAAAGTATGTATTCAGAAAATAACAGCTGAGTCAGTTGCTTTAACTGCTTGACTTGCCCTGAAATGACCTGGAAATGTTATTCCCTTAGCAATCTGATGTTCTACCCTGACTGCTTCTGACTTACTCTACTGAGGTGTGATGTGAACCCTTCTTATGTTCCTTGGCTCTTAAATCTTCCTCGCATTGTGCTGTCTGGTCAGCAGATTTCTGGGCTCCTCTTTGTTGGACCTAGTTTCTCATTAGGGTCCTAATATGTAGAGCACTCCTGTGCTGGGTCCCCAACCTTCAGGTGCACTTTCTGCTCTGCCAGGTTTTCCACCTACCTGACCCTCTCTCCCTCTAGTGTTTCTGTTGAATTTCCTCACGTGTCTGTCAGCAGGCCCCTTCCTGAGCCAGCATGCCTGCTCTCTGCACAAGCCACTCTCCTCGCTTGAATGTCTATTTGCTTTGCTACCAGATGTTTTAATTCTTTAGTCCTGAGATCTTCTGGCTGTCTCTGAGCTAGGTTGAGGGCAGGCAATTGTCCATTCACCTTTCATCTGGAGAGAGGAAGGCAGAGTGAGCTGGCCTGCAGCAGCTGGACCCTGTGCCTCTTCTGAGGCTTCCTAAGCATCATTCTGCTGTGTGAGGAGTGTGTCTTAGGCCTGGTGGGGCTGGTTTGGAATTCATTTGGGTACCTCCTGAGAAATGGGCCCTGAGCTCTGACGGCCATGTTTTTCTTGTCCACCCCCACACTGGGAGAGGGAAAGGGTCATATTCCTCAGCAGGCACCTGTAGGATGTGATTGTTTTATTGAAGCCTGTCCTGTTTGGGATGGAGGCAAATGCAGAGGTACGGAGTGTGATGTTTCCATGTTCTCTCCATGGCTGACAGCTGCTTAGGAATTGTTGGGTAATTCTAACTTTTTTGGTCTGTTATTCTGGAATTGGTAGAAGGAAATCTTATGCTATGGAAGAGTGTGAGGCGTAGGCCTGTGGGGAGGGAGGGAGACCCCCATTCCATCTTATCCTTTTTTGGAGACACAGACTGTGGATCATCACCTGCCCTCTTGTACCTATACTTCTCTTTCACTCTGCACATCAATCACCATCAAACACAAAAGGAAGCACCTTGGGGTCCTGCACCCCTCCACTCTCCCTGGGAGCCCTTCACAGCAAGCTCTGGTAGTTCCAACTCCATTCTTAGCACACAACTGTGGCAGAACCCCTCTTGGACCCTTCCTGGCTTTGGTCTCGGCACTCCTATTGGTTTCCCGCCTAGACTCCCAGCATCATGCAGGGAGACTGTGTGTGCCGGGAGACTGCAGCGCACTGGCCTGGGCCACCTGCCCAAATCCTGCATGGTGGCCCAGGGCTCTCTTCTGAGAGACACCCTGTACTTCCCAGGGTGTCCCATAGGGTTGCCCTTCAAACTGAACATGGTCTCCCTGCAGCCACAGACCTTCACTGTCCAGGTAACCTGGGCAGCACCACAGGGTTCCTTAGACCAACCTCCAGCCCCCAGATACCTGCCTCACCTCCCCCACATGGTTTGGAAGGAACCATGATTGTTGTCATTTGGGACCACCTCCTGTCTTCAGCTCTTGGGGGTGGTATCTGGGCAATATACTCTCCTCAAGCTTTAGTAATGCTCAAAAATCAACACAGCTGAGAATTCTGAGATGAGCTGGAAAGTGTGAGGTGCCCCTCTGCCTACAGAGGAACTGCCCCCAGGCACTCTGTCCTTGCTGGGGTTCAGCCTCATCTGGGGCCTGCAGCAGGGGGTCCTAGGCACAAGACCCTTCCTTCCTTTGGACTTTTCACCAGGCTACAGTTCGGGAAGGCCTCCCTAGCTCAGGAACATGCCCCTGGGGGGCCGGAAAACAGTGACTGAAGTCCAGAGATGGCCTTAGGGGCTGGAAGATGAACAGCAGGACACAAACCCCCTGATATTGGGTGGCAGAGTTAGCCCTGGGAGGAAAGTGCCCGGGTCAGGCTGGACTGCTGTGCTCCAGGATAGGTGGGCTACTCAGGGAGGGGGTTGGGAATGCCTGGAGGGCTAAAGTACCGAGAGGATCCCTGGGGGGCTGCCTCAGAGGGCCTGGGTAGGATCCACCTGGGGGTACAAGAAGGGCTCAGGCATGGAGGCCCCAGGGTGCTCCACCTAGGGATGTGGAAAGGGCCCATCCGGACAGGGGCGTGCGGAAGGGCCATCCGGGGACGCCAAGAGGCCGGCTGGGCAGGGGCGCGCGCGACGGCCACCTGGAGATGTCCAGGGGGCCCGCAGGGCAGAAGGCGCCGCGGGAGGGCCACCCGGGCCGCCGAGGGGCCGCCGGGCAAGGGCGCGCGGCCGGCCGCCGGGCTGCGGAGAGGCCAGGCGGGCAGGGGCGCGCGGGCCGGCGCGGCGCGGGGTCGGATAACGGCCCGCGCGGTGGGCGGCGGCGCCCGAGGCCCCTCC